GTCAGACTCACTGGCATGTCCACCGATTCCAGCCTCTACAAATGTGGTCTTAGGAAAAAAGCAGCTCCTTTTTGTTTGAATACACTCTACTCAAAGTAGAGATGCACTACTTGAGTAGGTTTTTCCGATAACACAAAGAACATGAAGGCTCACTTTATCAGTCGGTGCTGAAAAAGTATTGACTATGTCTAATATTGCCCCTGGCGGAGGGTCATTCTGAGGCTCAGGTAGCGAAACCCCAGCTCCGCTAGTGTTTTACGGCCACGCAAAATCTCCCTTAGTCGTACAAGCCTGTGCTTATGGCATCAGGAATGTAGGAATATTTTCACCAAATCCACTCGAACTGTCTCGGTTATAGGTTCATGAGGTTGCCATCGAAACCTTCTAGAGGTCTGCCCCTTTTAGGAAGCGTTCTTTGTGTTTGCTTCCAATATCCTGTGCTGTTCCCCACATGATGGACCTTTGGTCAGTAGCTACTCAACACAAATGTCCTCCTCGTTGGATTGGACATGGCTATGCTCATCTCGCTCGGAGGAGATATAAGTTTCCTCTTGCATGCGATAAGGAGCGAACCATCGTTGCCTCTTTTTCAGCGTAAGATCGTCAGGAGTACCTGTGATAAGACTCATGATACTGATGCCTTTGTGCATCTCTTTTTTAAGCAGAATTTTTAACCGGACGTAACTATCGTTCTGGGGTGTAGAAGGTTGAAGGGATAATGTAACGCAACTAAAAGAAACATTACCTCTGTTGTGCCAGCCTCTGATTTGGTTAATTAATCGGGCTATGATGTGTTAATGTACCGGGAAATGGTTACAGACTACTCCATTTGATAGGTCCAGTCCTTCACAAAACTGGTTAGGCCAAACAAGATTTAATTGATAATATGAGATGTATTCACACAATTATGTTTAAGGTGAAGGACTGGTAGAAAAAGAATTTTTCCACGATGATATGAGTTTAGCTGCCGTTTCCACTTAATTTCACATAGCCTTTCTTTCCCATTAAAATTCAATGGAAACGTCAGCTCAACTCATATCCTCGTGGGAAAATTCTTCTTCTACCAGTCCCTCATCACCTTAAACGAAATTGGGTGAATACATCTCATACTACTGATTTACTGCTAGTCACGAAAACAATACTTACTTTGAAAAATAAAGATTTAATTGCATGGACCTGACCGGGGTCATTCTGGAAACGACAGGTCATATTCAGCAGTTGTGCTTGGCACAAGCTGTCTGCGACTTTGCTGATGGTGTGGCCTTTTTTGTGGTGGCAGTCTCCTTCCGTTGTATAAAAGTTGTTTGACCTACCAATATGACCAAGTTGCGAAAACAAGGTCAAACAACTTCTAAGTCATAATAATGGTTCATTGCGCACTGGTTGATACAAGCACACGTACAAGCATGCAAGCAATCGTCTAAACACGGGTAGAAACGCAATGTATAAAGAGATGCCAGCGTCCTGTAGCACGTAAAGCTGAATGGGCGGTTTAAGCTTTCTTTTTCATACGCTTAAAGTCGGGTCAGGAAATAGGCCCGCTGACATTAAATTGGCAGGATGATGGGCTTCACGTATGCCTGTACCTCACACTATTGTTACTCGTGTTGACTATCCGTGTCTTTCTCGACCTTGAGACTGAATTCGTTCTCATTTGTGCGAAAAATCATGTGCTGTTAAGGCGTCCGGGTAGGTCGAGAGATTTGGGATCCGATCCCCACCAGTCGCACGATGGAGGGCCACTGCGTTCACCCAAGTCCTCTTTTTCGACGCCTTCCTGAACCTCGGACTTGAGCCAGACGCCGAATCGGCCCGCAAAAGTCGCCATTCAGTCCCGGGACTGGGGGTACGAGGTGATTTAACCAATTGCCTTTTTACAAACTTTTTCCCCTCTTTCCAATTGCTGGGTGCATGGAAAGACTGCGCGCCCTGCACGGAGTACCAGCGCTAAAGTTGGACAAGCGCCTCTGCGAAATGGCGCAAAAGTTCGCTCATCAACTGGCAAAGGAGAAGAAACTACGACACAGCGGCACTGAGGGTGTGGGAGAAAACGTGGCCATGAAGTCGAGCTCTGCAAAGGCGTCTATGACAGGTAAGCAAACCTCTCAAACCTGCCAACTTCGGCTACTGCAACGAAGCCAGATTTCCATTTTTGCACTCAGTGCTGGCTTGAAGACGATCGTAATTGTTTGATTCATTGTAAAACTAATCTGTACAATTACATTGACTTTTCTAGGCATCCATGGTGGGATCTAAGCTATGGAGGATGATGATGATGTTGATGGTGCTGGTGGTAGCAGTAGTGGTTATGATTATGGCGACAATTACGATTATGCCAATGATAATGATGTTATTGACGGCGGTGATGACTGTAAGGATGTATGTATAATGATGATAGTAATGGAGATTTTGTCCGTATTGGTGGATGCTTAGGCGATGATGCTGAAAGGTAAAAGGAAAATGAAATCCAAAATGATAACACTGATTGTGATGGTCATACAATGGTTAAATATATGTTTGTGCTGCTGCTCTTAATAGTTACTTTGCTAGTGATGATCACGTTGCTAAGTCTATTTTGATGAGGATGGGGATCGTAGTGGTAGTTGTGCTGGCGTTTGCGTTGATACTTATGACCGTCTTAATAACGGTGGTGTTAAAGGCTTTTTATGTTTTCTGTGACGAAATGCAACCCTAAAGCCCCATATAGTAATATATTTTTCTATCTATATATCTACTCTGCTAATTTCACTGTTGCCGTATACCAAGCAATCTAAACAAGCCGTAAAATTAGGGTCAAC